GATAATTAATAATATTCAAAATTATGCGAAGATAATATGAAATAACAAATACAATTAGCATGTGCAATATTTTAAGACTATGTAAAATCAAATTCTTTTAAAAAAAAAAAAAAAACAATATATACTTATAATTTTATATATGTAAGAAAATTCAATTATATAAAAAAAAAATATTTAGAAGATAATTAATAATATTCAAAATTATGCGAAGTAATATGAATAACAAATACATTAGCATGTGCATATTTTAAGACTATGTAAAATCAATTCTTTTTAAAAAAAAAAAACAAAAAAATTATTATACTTTATAATTTTATATATTGTAGAAATTCATTATTATTAAAAAAAAATATATAGAAGTTAATTAATAATATTCAAAATTATGCGAAGATAATATGAAATAACAAATACAATTAGCATGTGCAATATTTTAAGACTATGTAAAATCAAATTCTTTTTAAAAAAAAAAAAACAAAAATATATACTTATAATTTTATATATGTAAGAAAATTCAATTATAAAAAAAAAATATATATGAGAAGATAATTAATAATATTCAAAATTATGCGAAGATAATATGAAATAACAAATACAATTAGCATGTGCAATATTTTAAGACTATGTAAAATCAAATTCTTTTTAAAAAAAAAAAAACAAAAATATATACTTATAATTTTATATATGTAAGAAAATTCAATTATAAAAAAAAAATATATATGAGAAGATAATTAATAATATTCAAAATTATGCGAAGATAATATGAAATAACAAATACAATTAGCATGTGCAATATTTTAAGACTATGTAAAATCAAATTCTTTTAAAAAAAAAAAAACAAAAATATATACTTATAAATTTATATCTGTAAGAAAATACAATTATAAAAAATATAGTATTAAACAAAAAATAAGTAATTCATTATACATTACGCTAGATAAATACATGGAAATACATTGGAATTATATATGAAATAATTTAAATTGTAAAGTGAAATGTTTTATATGTAACGAATATTATTGTTATGATTTTGGAAATTCTATGTAAACTAAATTATATATGCTGTCGTTATGTTTTGCTATGTCACCAATGACAAGGAAGTCCTTTGAAGAGCGTCAACGCTCCTCTGCAAGGGGGAAGGGATGTTGTGGTTACATGCACGATAGGGTGTGGAAAAAACGGTTTGGCCGTTATTAAATAAATATGCAAGCATAGCCTTGGCACTAAGTCTCATATTACGATGCGGTAGCATAAGACTATGCAGAAGGCAACGATCCCGCAACGCGAGCGTGGAATGTGCTGACACTACAAAACGTGACCAGCAAACACGCTACTTTGGAAGCTAACTCAAAAGTACAGAAACTTTTGACTAGCAGTTGCTGTTTTGTCTCCATCGCGCAAGGAACGATCTAAACCGAAAACAATAGCGCGATCTGAACGTTCTAGTGTTCATATATATCACAGTCGGGCTGCACGGTTCTAAAGCATTTTTACCTTGCGATTTCAAGATAGAAAATGGTTAATTTAAGCAATAAAAGAAAGTGGAGTAAAGTTAATTCTATGAGTGATAGAAAACAGCCCTAACTTGAATCAAGTGATTCTAAATTGTTGAAACAAATATTGTCGAAAGCACAATTGCTAACACCAAAATATTTAAAACAACGAAAACGATTTGTGTTAATACAATCTGAATCAAATATTGTCAAAAGCACAATTGCTAATACCAAAATATTTAAAAACAACGAAAACGTTTTGTGTTAATACAATCTGAAACAAATATCGTCAAAAGCTCAATTGCTAACACCAAAATATTTAAAAGCAACGAAAACGTTTTGTGTTAATACAATCTGAATCAAATATTGTCAAAAGCACAATTGCTAATACCAAAATATTTAAAAGCAACGAAAACGATTTGTGTTAATACAATCTGAATCAAATATTGTCAAAAGCACAATTGCTAATACCAAAATATTTAAAAACAACGAAAACGTTTTGTGTTAATACAATCTGAAACAAATATCGTCAAAAGCTCAATTGCTAACACCAAAATATTTAAAAGCAACGAAAACGTTTTGTGTCAATACAATCTGAATCAAATATTGTCAAAAGCACAATTGCTAATACCAAAATATTTAAAAGCAACGAAAACGTTTTGTGTTAATACAATCTGAATCAAATATGGTCAAAAGCACAATTGCTAACACCAAAATATTTAAAAGCAACGAAAACGTTTTGTGTTAATACAATCTAAAACAAATATCGTTAAAGCACAATTGCGAACACTAAAATAATTAAAAGCAACGAGAATGTTGTGTTTCAGTCAATTTAAAACAAATATCGTACTCCAAAATTCGTTTTTCTTCAGCAGTTAATCAACATAAGGTTTATCTTCTTCCGCATTTTCCATTTTTCTTCGGTTTTCCTCCTTTTGAACTGACGTGATTCTTGGTCAAAACAACAACAACCTTCAAGTTTCCCGAACAAAACACTGTGTTACCACCAGCAATAACCCTAATCTTTAACAAAACTAACTCGGTTGTGATCATAATTGTTTCAAAGAAAGCAGCAGAGGCACAGCAGAAGTATAAGCAGAACAACACCAGTACACAACTTTAACGAAAGTAATCCCATCAACCACTAAGTTGGAAGTAACAACACCAGCAGCAACAGGTCGGCATCAGAAGATCCGGATCATAGCAAAGCGACGACAGCATTGAAGTAGGGATTAAATCTAATAAATATACAAGATCTGAACCCCAACTCCTCGTGTTTTTTTTGTAATATCAACACCGATAGGGACCACAACATGTACATACATATTTATATACATACATATAGTATGTGAATATAAATTTTTCTTATAATTGATTCATGTTTTTTATAAACATTTAGTATTTATTATTATTTATTTTTTATTTATAATTTAAGATTAAAATAAATATAATAATAATAAAAAAATTAAAATAAAACAAATAATATGTGTTTTAAATTAAATATGTACACATATATGTACATATTTATATTAACGATAGAATATGCCGTTATGTTTTTTTTTAGTTTTTCATTTATTGCATATCATAGCTTTGATTGCCTATGCGCATTGACAAACTTTTTTTTTACCCGCATTCTTTGCATTAAACTCCATACGATTTTTGCGAAGCTGAAAATGATGTGATGACATCATCACAAAAACAAAAACGTGTGTGCGAAAGTTTTGTGCGCCGCTGATAGTCATTTAAGGGTGGGTTTGTATGTTCATATATGGTTGTGCAAGATCGAATAACAAAATGATCCAAACATTTATTTCACCCACTGTCTGTGCTTTCTAAATAATATATACACTTAGCAGAAAAACTCTGCGTACAGAAAGTAAATTTTGTTTCAACATATAATAAATTACTAAATAAATAAATTTTTTAAGTTAATTTTATTTTTGATTAGTACTTTTATTTGTTATCTTCATTTTAAGGTAAAAATTATTTCTAACAGATTAGTAGAAAAATTATAATAATTAAAGATGTAACAAATCAGCGCTATCGGTGGCAGAAAAAGTCTGCGTACAAGAGTTTAAAAAGCGTCGAAATATATTATTTTTTAAAAGATTTTATATTTTCAGTAACTTGTTGGATAACCTTTCCTTTTTACGACCTTCATAAGTCGTTTTGGTAACGAATTGACCAGCTTCGCAATCTCATTACTGCTTCTTTTACCCCATTCCGCGTAGCTCACGTTCTTCGGCATTTCTTTGGAGGTTATATTGTATTTATGTACCCGACGCACCAGTAAATCCTATAAATGTTCTATAAGATTTAAATATGGCGATTATGATGACATTTTGATTTGCTTGGGCACATTTTAAAGCAACCAAAGCTTTACAACTTCTGCCGTGTGCTTCGGGTCGTTATCTTGTTGAAGTAAGTAATTGTTCTGTAACCCCAACTTCTTGGCACTGCTCTTTAAATTGCATTTTAAAACATTTAAATAATCATCTTTACTCATTATCGACTCAAAGAATTCCATTTTTCTCACTATATTACTCGCCATACACCCCCGCACTATTACTCCTCCACTACCGTGTTTTATTGTTGAATACAAATCTTCATTATTAAAGGCAGTATCCGGAATTCGCCATATAATCGTTCGACCTTTAATGCTAAAGAGACAAAATATGCTTTTGTCTGAAAAAATTATGCGTTTCCAAAATTCTGGAGACTTATTTAAATACTCCCTTGCGAATGCTAAACTCTTCATTCTAATAGCTTTGGAGATAAGCGGCTTGCTTCGTGCAAACCGGCCATGGTGCAAACCGGTCTGGTCAATATATTTCTATAACAGAAGTTTAGTTAGACGAAGATTATCTTTCACTGAAATAATAATGCTGCGGGTTTCTCTTGTTGACAGCTTGGATGGACGCCCAGCAGTTGTTCACTACTCTTTGGATAAAAGAATGTGACCGCTTAACGATTTGACCAATTTTGCGATACATTTTCCTTTTCTTCCATAGATCAATAATAATACTGCTCTCACTGTTAATAATTTCTTTTCCTTTATTTTT